ATATGTTCCATGAGAATTGGCTTGCCCTTGACTAAGTTCCCTTTCGGCTTCAGGTGTAGGTTCCGACACGTGGTGGCTCATCTTTTTGGATTCACATCACCTTCTGAGAAGCTGGCGACCTTCTGTATCCAGACTGCCTTTCCTGGCATCTGAGCGTTGGCCATATCCTCTCCCCTACCTACCGATGTCCGTGCCTGCCCTAACTGCAGATGAAGGTTTTTCCCAGACTGAACCCAAGTGCGGGCAGTCATGGGCTTGTGGCTGATCAGTCCATCTGTGACCAGCTTCCAGGTCTATGGACGAGAGCTGGCGTGGGCAACTGCGCTGGTCTCTCTGTGGCTCCACCAACCTGCTCTGAGGCACAGTGCAGGCGAGCCACATCTGAGGCTGAGCATGCCCACGGCTGTGGCTGCAGTCCTGTACATATTCTCGAGTTCTGTATCGGGATGCAGTTAGGTTACTTAGATCTCTTTAGGTCCTATTTCCAGGATCCCACAGGAGCATTTAGTCTAGGTTTAGTGATTACTTCCCATCACCGAGGCCAGACACTGCTGAGCCCTCTACTGGATATTCTGTGATGAGGTTTTCACACTCGGGCTGGCAGAAGCAGGCACTATACCCAGCCCTGCCAGGCACTGCTCTCTCCAGTCTTTCCAGAAGATTACACCCTGTGCATAGGCAGGTTCTTCATGCAGCTTTGCCAGTCTGTTAACTATCAAGGGAGACCCTAAACTCTCCAGCCTTCTCTCTGTGCAGCTCTCTCCACGCCATTTCCTTGAGTCGAGAGTCCTTTGTGCCGTGCCTGGCTATCCCTCAAGGGACATGGCCTGACATTCTCTGGAGACATTAAGCTGGGGCAAGCTTTTGTCCCCACTTTCACAAGTCAATGTCCCTCACAGTCGGATGTCCAGTGTCTTGAAAACCACTGCTTCATGTATTCTAGTTTTTCCAGTTGTTTTGGGTAAAGAGGATTTATCTAGCACCTGTTTTCCCACTTGGGGAAGCCTACGTCTCTGTTCATCAAGAATTATTTTAACTTTATTCTATTATTCATTTATTTATTTATTTAAATTTGACCAGAGGTTGGGGGTGAGAGAGATAGAAAAAGAGAGAGAGAGGGAAAGTGAGAAAGCAAGCCGCCAGGTCTGGGACTCAAACCACAGCTGGTCACATGGGAGTCCAGTGCCCTCAACCACCATGCTACCTGCCGGCCATCGAGTTGTAACCAATTACATCTACGGTACTAAATCTGATGATCATGTCTCAGCCCTCATTTACCCTGACATCAACTGCGGCTTCTGGCCGTCTCATCTCTTCCTCAGTTTTGCTTGTAGGTTCCCGAGCACACACTCCTTTGGTTTTACCCCCCACTCGGGCTCTTCCTTCTTGGACTCCTTTCCTGGTCTGACTCATCAGCTCCGGTTAGGGAGTGACTCAGGGTACAGTCTGAACTACTGTCTGTCTGTGCCCACTTGACCTGAGGACCTCACGTAGCCTGGTGACTCTCAGCTTTTGATAACATCTATAGCCGAGGAAACTCAAGTTCCTGTTTCTAGCCTGGACCCCCGTTCACATATCTGGGAGCCAATTAAGCACATTCCCTTGGAGGTCTTAACAGGCCCCTCAGACGTAACATCAAGAACAACTGTTACCTACTGACCCCTCCCTGCAATTCAAACCTCCCACTCTTCCTGCAGCCTTCCCCCTCATATAAGATAAAATGGAATTTCATTGTTTAACTGCTTAGGCCAAACTCTTGGAGCCATTGCCAACTCTCCCCTCTCTCACACAGACTCTCCTTTCAAAATATACACAGAATCCAACCACTTTTTACCACCTCCACTGACATCACCCTGGTATAAGTTACCATCTTCTGCCTGAATTATTGCGACCGCTTCCTAACTGGTCTTCCTGCTTTTCTGCCTTTGCCTTCCTCCACAAAGTAGCCAGAAAGATCCTGTTAACATTTAAATAGGACTATTTTACTTCTCTTCTCAAACTGTCCAATGGTCTCCCCATCTTCCCTGGAGTAAAAGTCAGAATCCTTTCAAAGGCCTCACAAGGTCCACGAGGTCTGGCCTTACTTCTCCACTGACTTCCCTTATCTCCTGCTGTTGGCTCGATGCACGCTGAAATCCTTAAAGGTCTTTGAATACACCAGAAACATTCCCACTTTAGGGGTTTTACACTTACCAGCCCCCTTCGGCTTAGATGTTCTTCCCCTAGGTATCATCTTATCTCCAGTATCCAAACGTCACTTCAGTGAAGCCCTCCCCTCGTGCTCTTTTGGATACAACACGACTTTCTTTCTGCCAGCCCCAGCACTTAAGAGTCCATTGTTTTGGGGTGGCTGGTGGTGTGGGTTAAGGGTGCTAGACTCCCATATGGCTGACTGTGGTGTGAGTCCTGGACCTAGCTAGTGGCTTGCTTTCTTACTCTCTCTCTCTCTCTCTCTCTGGTTAAATTTAAATAAAGAAAGCAAGAAAGGAAGAAAGTAAGTTAGATAGAATAATTCTTAAAAAATAAATTAAAAAGAACCCATGTTTCACATATTACGACTTACTTTATTGCTTCTCTCCTCTCATTAAGCACGTAAGTTTTGGGGCTGGTCTCATGGCCTAGTTTGAGCCTTGGCCATCCCTGGTTTGAGTCTTGGTTCTGGCAGCTTAAAAAACACATCAGGGGAACCAGCAGATAATGTAGTGGTTATATCACTGGACTCCCTTGTATTCGGTCACAGTTTGCATCCCTGACCTGGAAACATCAAACTCAGGCTAGGTGTGTGTGCGCATATGTGCCCAAGATCCTGAGGGGGAATGGAGGAGAAGGGATTGTAGCATGACCATCCCTCTGGGAGGTGATTTCTTGCTTTCTGTCTCTCTATATATCCCTGTCTCTCTGGTGAGCACATGTGCCCGATAGCAAAAATTTCTCTCTCAAAAATCAAACAAACAGGGGACCAGCAGTTGGCATAATGGCTATGTTGCTGGACTCTCATGTAGTCGACCGCGGTTCAAGTTCCAGACCCAGTAACTTAAACTCATCCCGGGTGTGTGTGCCCAAGATCTTGGGAGGAGAAGGGATTGCAGCGTGGCTATACCCTTGGGGGGTGGCTCCTCGCTTTCTGTCTGTCTCTCTCTTTCTTTCTGGCGAACGCATGTGCCTTATAGCAAAAACTAAAAAAAAAAAAAGAAAAGAAAAAAACCCACGCATCAGGTTTGGGAATGAGCAGATGGCATAGCGGTTATGTTGCGGGATTCCCACATAGTCACATAGTTGACCACGGTTTGAGTCCTGGGCCCAGAGGCTTAAAACTCATGCCAGGCACGAGATCCCCAGAGGAGGTCCCCAGAGAATGGAAAAGGGATTACGACATAGCCATCCCCCCAAGGGGTGATTTATTACTTTCTGTCTGTCTCTCTCTCTCTGGTGAGTGCACATGCCCTAAGCAAAAATCACTCAAAAACAAAAAACAAAAAACAAAACCCAGTGGCTTAAAAACTATGCTGGGCATGCACGTGTGTGCACCCAAGATCCCAGGAGGAGAAGGGATGGTGGTGTGGCCATCCCTCCCAGGGGGGTGATTTCTCATTTTTCCTCTCACGGTGTCTGTCTCTCTTCTTTTCTTTTATTTAAAAGTTTGATTTAAATTTATTCATTACTATTATTACTTTTCAGTTTGATCAGAGAGAGAGGGAGAGAGGGAGGAAAGGAAAGTGAGAAAGCAAGGCACACCAGGTCCAGGACTTGAACTGTGGTCAGCCATGAGGGAGTTCAGTACCCTTAACCACACAACCTGCCAGCCTCTAGTCTCTCTTTCTTTCCTGCAAGCCTATGTGCCCTAAAGCAAAAACCCGTTTTAAAAAATAAAACTGGGAACCAGCAGTTAGCCTAATGGCTATGTCGCTGGACTCCCATATAGTCGACCGCGGTTCGCGGACCCGGTGGCTTAAAACTCACGCCGGGCGCGTGTGCGTGTGTGCCCAAGATCCCGAGAGGAGAATGGAGGAGAAGGGATTGCAGCGTGACCATCCCCCCTGGGGGGTGATTTCTTGCTTCCTGTCTCTATGTCTCTGTCTGTCTGTCTGGTGAGCGCACGCGCTCTATAGCGAAAAAACCTCCAAAAAACAAAACCAAACCAAAACTTCACTAGGTTCATGTGCAAGTGTGCCCCAAATCACAACGGGACAGGAAAACGGAGGAGAAAGGACAGCACCATGACGATACCCCACTAGTGGGCAATTTCCCATTCCTACTTCTCTGGGGGGCTGTATGCACTCTCTGGAAATTAAAAAAAAGAAAAAAAGAATTTACATTCTATGATGGCAAGAACTTCTGTTGGTACTTTACATAGCATCTTCAACAATGCCTGACACATGGCAGGTACTCAAATTAACATTAGCTAAATGAATGAACATAATTAGAGGGTTGTAAAAACTGTTCTGAAAATTGTAAATTAATCACCTCAATAAAAGTACTTTACCTGCTCACTTGAACTAGAATTTCTGGTAATGGGATGAAAAGTATTCAGAAAAATGTGTGTCAAAACCTAACATTGCCTGTTGTCTGGCTTCTTTGATTTAGCAAGACTCTTTCAGCTTCACTGCTGCAGCACATGTCAGAAACTCCTTTCTACGGCCAAACGAGACTCCACCGTTTATCTGGTGAGAGCTATCTGGGCATATTCCACCTTTTGGGTATGATGCTATGATCATTTGTGTGGAAGATCTGGAGTGGACAGATGCTTTTTACTCCCTTGGATGTACATTTAGAAGTGGAACTGCCAGGAAACCACAGAGCTTTCTCCTAAAAATAATCTGCAAAGTCTTCACCTATGTAACGCAGAAGTGAATGAGTTTTTAGGTGCAGAATAAGGGCAGAGAGTAGGTTTTATCAACTGCCGTTCCTAAGTCTTAGTTAGTGCCTAGGCACAAACAAGTTATAAATAAATGTCTTAAAGAATTTTTCTTACAATAAGGCCAGCGTTCAATTGGTCTTACCCTCAAGGGATTTTCATTGAGGTATGGAGGCTCTCCTTCTACCATCTCAATAGCCATGATACCCAGAGACCAGATGTCCACTTTAGGGCCATAAGCCTTCCGTGTGACCACCTCCGGTGCCATCCAGTAAGGCGTCCCGACCATAGTACTGCGTTTGCTTTGCTCTGGGGTGATCTGGGCACAGAAACCAAAGTCGGCTACAAAACAAAACGAAACACGGAGTGTTAACAGTCCCCCCGGATGTTTTCGTCCAAACGGTTCACTTCAGGTGACAGCTACAGTTTGACTGCTCAGCCTGTTAAGGATTTTATAAACAAAGAAAACCAGAATGGTTTAGTGAAAGTATTTTGACAATGTGACATTCCTTCAGTTTTCACTTTCCATAAGCAGAGAACAAATGATCAGGAGGTCTTTTTATTCTGAATAATTAATTCTATGCTAAAAAACTTAGGGTAATTAAACTGAAAGAAGTCCAAAAAGAAAGCCAACAGAGGTGGACAACCAAAAGCACACGCAGCGGGCGAGGCAAAAGCTAGGAAGTGAAACTACTTTTGTAAAATAAACAGAACCTAAAAGCACGAGGCACCCACCTTAGCAGAACCCAGAGAAAGAACACGTTTAACTGCAACTGTGTGGACAGGTCTGGACCAGCATTAACCAGCTCCAACCATCACATTTCACAATTCAGGAGCGGGGTGCCTGGTTTATTTCCCACCCAATATAAATTCAGAGGGAAAGCCAGGATTCGAATTTGAATTTTCTCCTCCTTTCCACTGTTAAGCCCATTCTACTCCATATGCAACCACTGTTAACATTTATGTTTGTGAGTTTTAATTCTTTAGTTACGTTTTTACCCCTATGAATAATAGCTATGGACTGCAAGGTTTGTTTTACTTAACTAGGATTTTTTTTTTTTTTTTTTGAGAGGTTTTGGCTACAGGGTGCATGTGCTCACCAGAAAGACAGAGAGAGACAGAGACAGAAAGTGAGAAATCACCCCCCCAGGGGGGGATGGCCACGCCACAATCCCTTCTCCTCCATTCTCCTCTCAGGATCTTGGGTACACATACACATTCGCTCAGCTGAGTTTAAGCCACCGGGTCCAGGACTCAAACTGTAGTCGATTACATGGGAGTCCAGCGACATAGCCATGATGCCAACTGCTGGTCCCTTAACTAGGATATTTTAAACTATCTTGTTTTATTTTTAGAAGCTTTTTTTCCTTTAAGAATTATTTATTTAATTCCATTTGTGACTATCATTATTATTAATTTGACCAGAGACAGAGAGAGAGGGGAAGGGAAAGCAAGAAAGCAAGATGCCAGGTCTGGGACCCAAACCGCAGCCAGTCATGTGGGAATCCAGAGCTCTTAACCACCACGCCGTCTGCTAGCCCCTGTAAATTATTTTTTAAAACTTATTTTTAGAGATCCTTCCATATTAGTACTTGACCTGCTTCAGTTTTTAAAAAAGAATTATTTTATTTACTTATTTTAATTTGACCAGAGAGGCAGAGAGCGAGAGAGACGGAAGTGAGAAAACAAGCCATCAAGTCCAGGACTCGAACCGTGGTTGGCCATGTGGGAGTCCAACGCCCCTAACCACCACGCTATCTGTCGGCCCCGACCCGCTTCACTTTTAATACTATGAAATGTTACAGAATAAAACACACATACACAATTTATTCAGCTATTTCCATACTGCTCCGCAGCTGAGACAGTCGCAGTTCTTTCCAGTGCTGCAGAGGACACCCTTGTGCTTTCTGAGGGGCACACTTTCAGCCACTTTACAGAAGAGAACCCTACAGGTGACCGTTACGTCAGACACCTGCATCACTAAAGGAAGTGACTATAACAAGGCAGGTATTATTTCAATGCCTTGTAAGAATTAAAGCATGTCAGCCTTATAACTAAGAGACAGGTGCATGTATCATTCATTGTATTTGCTCCCATGTCACAAACAAGAAAACCAAGGCACACGCATTTTCAGATAACTTACCCAAGGTCACTGATTTGGTTAAGTGGCAGAGGGAGGATGAAATGATATCCAAAAAAGCCTAGTTCAGTTTCCGTATGTACAGATCCACCAAAAATGTAAACCCACTGGGATTTTTACATAAAGATTAGCCATCTTGGGAACCAGCAGTTAGTGTAATGGCTATGTCACTGGACTCCCACGTAGTCGACCGCGGTTCGCGTCTCGGACCCGGTGGCTTAAATCTCACGCCGGGCGCGTGTGCGTGTGTGCCCAAGATCCCGAGAGGAGAATGGAGGAGAAGGGATTGCGGCGTGACCATTCCCCCTGGGGGGTGATTTCTCGCTTTCTGTCTCTATGTCTCTCTCTGTCTGTCTGGCGAGCGCACACGCCCTATAGCGAGAACCTCTCCAAAAAAAAAAAAAAAAAAAAAGATTAGCCATCTTATACAGTTAACCTGAATTTTCCCCCTTGTCACTGCGAAGGTCCCACATAGCCCGCCCTGATTAAGTCACGCTCTACAAAGGCCGGCAGGTGGTGTGGTGGCTGAGGGCACTGGAATCTCACATGGCTGACCACCGTTCAAATCCTAGACCTGACAGCTTGCTTTCTCACTTTCTAGCTCACTCACTCTCTATCACTCTCTCTCTCTTGTCTGTCCCTCTCTGGTCAAACTAAAATAAATAAATAGTTAAATAAAATAATTCTTTTTTGTTTTTTTTTGAGAGGTTTTTGCCACAGGGCATATGCGCTCGTCAGACAGAGAGAGACAGAGACAGAAAGCGAGAAATCACCCCCCAGGAGGGATAGTCACGCCACAATCCATTCTCCTCCATTCTCCTCTCGGGCATGCACGCACATGCGCCCAGCCTGAGTTTTAAGCCACCGGGTCCGGGACTCGAACCGCGGTCGACTACATGGGAGTCCAGCAACATAGCCACTACGCTAACTGCTAGTCCCAATAATTCTTAAATAAATAAATAAAAGTCATGCTCTACAAAACCCAAAGGCGGCTGACCAGCATGATGAAAAATCCTACTTAACAGATGGCAGGGGACTAGTAGGCTTAATGGCTAATCTGCTGGACTCCCACATAGTCGACCGCGGTTCGTGTCCCGGACCCGGTGGCTTAAAACTCACGCCGGGCGAGTGTGCGTGTGTGCCCAAGATCCCGAGAGGAGAATGGAGGAGAAGGGATTGCGGCGTGACCATCCCCCCTGGGGGTTGATTTCTCATTTTTTGTTTCTATTTCTCTCTCTGTCTGTCTGGCGAGCGCACGTGCCCTATAGCAAAAACCTCTCAAAAAACAAAAAAACAAAAAACAAACAGATGGCAGAAACAAATTTGAATTTATCTCACATTAGTATTATGACAATCCCAGGCAGTATCCCTTAGCATTTTTTTTTTTTTTACATTTTTAATTGTGTAAAGATTTCTCTGAGACAGGCATTACTGCTTTCCTTATTGAACAAAAGACAAAACTAACACAAAGAGATTAAATAACTTGCCCAGACTTATTCAGCAAGTAGCAGATCTTCTATTTAAATCCAGGCTGTCCAATTAAGGTCCCTATTCTTTACCACCAGATTCCCTCCCTCTCCATATAGTAAAACAGAAGAATATTACTAGCAGCTGAGTTCTTAATTAAACAAAAGGCAAGAAATTATAAATAGCAAAACAATGCTATTTGTTACTCACTAAGTTTAACCGATCCTTCCATCCCCAAAAGCACATTGTCACTCTTGATGTCTCTGTGGATCACTTGATTAGCATGTAAAAACTCCAATGCCTGCAGACACTGAACAGAAGAGAAGGCCCATCAATGGACAGTCACTGAGAAGAGGGAGGTTCACATACAGTTACGGCCTGAGTGCTGCCTCTATTCAATCATTTCCAGCACAAGACCGTTCAATATTTGTATCAGTAAATGTAAAAACAAAACCAGAAACAAAAACAAAAAACCTCTTCTATGCAGTTATGAAATTAAGATGACTTAATTAATTAGATCTCTTCCCATCCTCTGATCTTACCCTAAGACGTTTAAATAATGCCTAATCTAGTCTTTTATCTGCCACTGATTAGTTAAAATCCTAATAACATTCCGTCTTAAAGGGTCTCGTGTAAAACGTTGGGTGGTTTATATCATTTCTAGGCCGTTTCAGGTTTAAGTGACTAAAGGTATACGGCACTTGATTAACAGGGACAGGCCCTTCAGAAATCATTTCAACAATCAAAAGTAAACGAGCACACCCCCACTTGAATCTGAGATATATGGAAATCTAGTCCCTGTGAGCCTTGAAGCGGGTACGATTCTGGGTGGTCCTGAAGCTGTTCCTTACTGTGATCCTGGCCATTCCGCCTGTGAAGAAGCTATCCAAACCCTAGACACCAGTGATGGAAAAATACATTTCCTTTTATGTCACATTTCAGAAAGCACTGAGTCAAAATGAAAAAGTAAAATTCCTGCCCTTCCTAACTACAAGAATGAGATGAGATTTTAGAAATCTGCTTGTCTCAATATTTTTTTGTCTTTTGAGATTTTTGCTATAGGGCACATGTATTTGCCAGAGAGACAGAGGGAGAAAGAGAGAGACAGAAAGCGAGAAATTAGCCCCCAGTGGAGATGGCTATGTTGCAATCCTTCTCCTCCATTCTCCTCTCAGGATTTTGGGCAGAAATGCACATGCACCCAGTGTGAGTTTCAAGCCACAGGGTCCGGGACTCGAACTGCAGTTGTCATGTGGGAGTTCAGCACCTTAACCACTAAGCCACCTGCTGACCCGTCCTCAATATTTTTTAATGTGAACTGAGAATATACATTGTAAACTTGGAAAAAGTTGTGTCCTTACTCCCATCAGGATAGAATAACAAAATCTGTATCATCTATAACCACTAAAAAATCACATTAGAAATATTCTATTAATTCAAGGAAAAATAAAAAGAGACATTTCATTAGATTCCGGAAAAGAATAAAGCCTCAGGAAACACTGAGCAAATCAATCGAGATGAACTTCACAATATAAAATTCGTATTCCAGGGGCTAGCAGGTGACATGGTAGTTAGGACAGTTGAACTCCCACTTGGTTAGCCATGGTCTGAGTCCTGGACCAGGTAGCGCACGGGTCACACTGGGTGCATGTGTGTGTGCCCAGGATCCCAGGAGCGAAGTGGAGGAGAGGGGATGGCAGCATGGCTATCCCCTCAGGGGGGTGACTTCTCACTTTCTCTCTTGTTGTCTCTCCCTGGTGAGCACACATGTCCTAAGGCAAAAATCCTTAAAAAAAAAAAAAGGGGGGGGGGCGCCAGCAGGTGGCCTGGTTAAGATACTGGACACACCCACATGACTGACGACAGTTCCTGGACCTAGTGGCTTGCTTTCTCACTTTCTCTCTTTCTGGTCAAATTAAAAATAAATCAACAAGTAAATTTAAATAAATAATACAAAAAATAGTTTTTTTGTTTTCTTTTTCTTTTTTTTAAAGGTTTTTTCTATAGGGCGCATATGCTCGCCAGAGATAGATAGACAGAAAGCGAGAAATCACCCCCAGGAGGGGATGGCCACGCCGCAATCTCTTCTCCTCTCGGGATCTTGGGCACACACGCACACATGCCCGGTGTGAGTTTAAGCCACTGGGTCCAGGACTTGAACTGTGGTCAGCTACATGGGAGTCCAGCAACACAGCCATTATGCCAACTGCTGGTCCCCCAAAACAGTTTTAAATAATTCTTATTTCTTTCTTTCAAAGAGGTGCTCCTTTACAGGTGAACAAAATTAACTCAATTAAAATTTAAAAATGTTTTATAACATCTTAATAAAAGTTGAAAATGGAAGATACATATACTATTCTTACATGAAGTTTACAATCACTTACGTATGAGTATAGAACTGTTGAAAGTCAGATCATAAAAATACACAATATAGGGGCCAGCAGGTGGCATGGTGGTTAAGGGCGCTGGACTCCCACATGGCTGAGGGCAGTTGGAGTCCCAGACCTGGTGGCTTTCTCTCTGACCTGGTGGCTTGCTTTCTCACTTTCCCTCTCTCTCTCTCTGGTAAAATTAAAATAAAGATGAATGAGTACATAAAAAAATTAAATAATTCTAAAAAAAAAAAAAAAAACGCACAATATAGTCTTACGAAATTTTATAATTTTGCCTATAAATTTTATAATTTGTGACAATGTCCCCATCATACTAGTAATACAATGTAGTCGTAGTTTCAATGACAATAAATAAAACCATTAACTTAAATCTATCTATAAAAAAAGGACACAGAAGAGAGAAGGCTTGTTTCATCTTTTAGTATTTATTCAATTCCATTTGTTGTTATTATTTTTTTTAATTTGATAAGAAAGAGCTAGAGAGAGAAAGGAAAGGAAAGCGAGAAAGTAAGCTACCAGATCAGGGACTTGAACTGCAGTTGGCCATGTGGGAATTCAGCACCTTTAACCACCATACCACCTGCTGGCCACAAAGGCTTGTTATTAATGGAGACTTAGGCAGTTTTGCAGAATTCTACTGGTTTAAGCAGAGTATGTCTAGAAATTCATTAATAAATATATGGACATAGCTAGTTTGTTCACCGTTAGCTCAATAAAGTCAGAAGCAGTGACACTTCCGGTAGGCATATCTCCCACCTTGCCGGAGGTGGCTCTCTGCTTCACTGCCCAGTGGTGTATTTTTGAAGACATTCCTTTTTATTCTCAGAAGTGTTCTTGTTTGGATAATAACCTAAAATAATTGCCCTACAGAAATCTGCCTGTTCTTTAAAGATCCAAGTTTTGAGACCCGCAGTTGGCGTAATGGCTACATCACTGGACTCCCATGTAGTCAACCGCGGCTCGCGTCCCGGACCTGGTGGCTTAAACTCACGCCGGGCGCGTGTGCGGGCATGCCCAAGCTCCCAAGAAGAGAATGGAGGAGAGTGGATGGTGGTGTGGCCATGCCCCCTGGGGGGTGATTTTTCGCTTTCTATCTGTCTCTGTCTTTCTGGCCAGCACACATGCCCTATAGCAAAAACCTCTCTCCCCCAGAAAAAAAAAAATTCAAGTTTCATTCTCAAAACGAATTTACAGGGACCAGCAGGTGGCGTGGTGGATAAAGGTGCTGAATTCCCACAGGGCCGATCACAGTTCGAGTCCTGAACCTGGTGACTTGCTTTCTCAATTTCCCTTTCTCTCTCTCTCACTGTCTGATCAAATTAAAGAAATCATAATAACAAAAGGAATTAAATAAATAAATAATTCTTTTTAAAAAATGAATTTACATCTTACAGATGGACAGAGAAGAAATGTTGAATGGAATGGAATGGAGGTCACTTGTAGGAAGGTGTACAGAGACGGTACCTCACAATAAAAACTACCCGTGCAGAAAACTCACCTTTTCACCTCCTACTGATCACACATCAATCACTGTGACTTATCAGAAAGTGATCAGACCCACCTCTCTGCACACAGCAGCAATCTGTGCTTCGTCCATACAGGTTTCCGTGACGACGTCAGTAAGTGACCCGCCAGCAAGATACTCCATCACCACGAACAATTCATCCCCCACCAGGTAGCTAAAGAGAGAACACACAAAACACACTCAAACATAAACCGTGAGCTGCATGCTGAAGAATTCAAACGTTCAGCACTGTACAGTTTGGATAATGGTTCGTCCTCATGCTCATCTTTTGGAATATGGTCCCCAGTATAACAGCAGTGGGAGGTGCTGTTATCCCATTAAGATTTGGGACTAAATGGGCAGCGACTGGACCATGGAGGCATCACTCATGAATGAATTAATGATGTCACGACAATAGTTTATAAAAGGAAGATGGCTGTCCCCAGGTCTCTCCGTGCACATGTCCACCATCCTCTCTGCACTGTCGCCTGGACTGTGACACAGGGTGACCTGATAGCTGCCCCATGCCTTTTACCTTTGGCTACCAGACTTGTGAGTCAAATAAATCTCTATTTATTTATAAATCATCCAGTCTCAGTTATTTCTGTTTGCAACACAACAGTGGACAAGCATACTAAGATTAGGTCATTGGGAAAGTCATGATGCATTTTTCTACGCAAACACTTAAAATAAAAAACAGTTGTGATAATACACATAATATCCTGTTTTGCTTTTTGTTCTGTTATCTAAACTAAATGAGGTTTTGTTTTTTCCCCCTTTATTCATGACGGAGTACACGTGTGTGCACAAAACAGAGAGAGAGAGAGAGAAGAGAGGCAATCTCACAGGGTGTGGTCGTCCTGCAGTCCTGGTCCTGCAGGCTGCCAGCCTGTTGGGTCGAGATGCACGTGTATATGCCTGGGGTGTTTCAGGTGGACTGGGCCCGGAATCTGAACTGTGGATGTCATGTGGAACCCAACTTCTCTTGAATAATGTTCTACCCATTATGCCACAGAGCTGGTCCATAAATTAAATGCGGTTTTGACAGATATGTACAATTTCCCCATAAAGAACCACATTTGAAATAAAAATTCATCTGAGTTTAAAAATCGGGCCAGCCTCATAGGCACATGGCCAATGACAGTGCAAATGCGGGCCCTAACGGGTTGAGACGTGCTGGGTGTGTATGTGTGTATGCCCGAGATCCCAGCGACATGGAGAAATGGAGAAGCACTGCAATGTAACATACCCCACTGCGCAGTGCTCCCACCCCTTCTCTGTCAAGCACATGCACACTCTGATAATTAAAGGGAAATAATTTAAAACTGCTAGGCCAGGGACCAGCAGATGGCATAGTGGTTACATCACTGAACTCCCATGTGGCAGATCACAGTCCAGGTCCTGGACCCGGAGGCCTGAAACTCAAGCCAGATATGTGTGCCCCAAATCCCAAGAGAATGGAGAGAAGGGACTGTGGGGTGACCATCCCCCTGGGGGGGGGTGATTTCTTACTTTCTCTCTCAGTACGCGCACCCAATAGCAAAAATCTCTTCAAACCAACCAACAAACAAAGAAACACACATGTGAGGCTAGTCACCTCTGTCAGTCAAGACATTAATTGGGACCAGCAGTTAGCATAATGGCTATGTTGCCGAACTCCCATGTAGCCAACCACAATTCGAGTCCTGGACCTGGTGGCTTAAACTCAGGCCGGGTGCGTGTGCGTGTGTGCCCAAGATCCCGAGAGGAGAATGGTGGAGAAGGAATTGTGGTGTGGCCATCCCCTCTGAGGGGTGATTTCTCGCTTTCTATCTCTCTGTCTTTCTGGCGAGCGCACGTGCCCTATAGCAAAAACCTCTCCAAAAAAAAAAAAAAAAAAAAAAAAAAAGACATTAATCAATTAACCATAGCGAACCATTCCTGAATATTTCTGCATCCAACCGTTTGCATGACTATAAGCACCACCCCCAACGTCCTTCATTTAGTTGTCTTCTACTTGCCAAGTGGTACCCTGTAGAGAAAGGACCTGCTACCCTTGTCCTTTGGCACAGAACACGCTCTTTTCTCTCTCCTCTCCCTCCTTCGAACTCACTTCTAAGTGCTGACGTTTTACTGTAATCTAACCAAAGTGCCTATCCTCTCTTTAAACCATGAGACCTGAAATGTTCACATAACAAACAAACAAAACCTCTTTTTATAAAAAGAGACTCAGTATAAATACTGAGTTATTTATATTTACCTGTCTAAGAAATTAACTATGTTCGGATTCTTTAATTCTTTCATCACCAGAATCTCATTAATAATCAATTCCTTCTTTGGTTGTTTCTGTAAATTTATCTGTTTGATAGCAACCTGTAATGAGAATTGAAAAACATTAGAACAGATTTTCTAAGAAAACTATCAACATCAATCAGTTAGTGTCACCGACTGGACACGTATGGTATTATACAGTGAGAGTGTAACTTACACATGGCAGTGCTTTTACTCCCACACTACGTACAACGCTCTGCAATACACAGAGCCTAAAATTTTTAGATTTATCTTGAAGTTGATTAACTCAGGTTCATCCTGACACCAGAAATTATCCTCTTTTCATTTCAAACTGGAAAAATAATCTTTTATTTATTTATGATACTAAATTTATAATTCCTCGTTTGTTCCCCTAAGTGAGAGATGGTCTATAAAATTGTATCTAGCAATTCTTATAACATATTCAATTAAAAAAGATTCTTATCGATTAGTCTCAGAGTTACCTAGCTCCCTCCTATATACAAAGGTAACAGTAACATCCAGAAGTGTGAAAAAATAGCTACCTCCTGTCCCAGCGCCACATCAGTAGCAGTGAAAACTGTACCAGATGCCCTAGAAGAGAAGACAACCAGATTTAAGATTTCTAAATCATTTTTATTTATAATAGTCAAAGGATTTACACCTCCAGCAATTGAGGAAAGGTTAAACATTAAGACTTAACATCTTTATTTTTAAAAATAATTTAAAAAAATATTTAATTTTACTCATTCATTTATTTTTAATTTGACCAGAGCGAGACAAAGAGAGAGACAGTGAGAAAGCAAGCCACCAGGTCAGGGACTCGAACCATGGCCAGCCCTGTGGGGGTATTGAACGCCTTAACCACCATGCCACCTGCTGGTTCCCAAGATTTAACATCTTTAAAAGGAGTAAAAACAAACATGAAAGGAAAGAAAAAAAAAAAAGAAGAAGAAGAAGGGCTTGGGACTCCCACATGGCTGACCACGGTTGTAGTCTTGGCCCTGGTGTCTTGCTTTCTCGCTTTCTTTTTGATTTTTATTTATTTATTTATTTATTTATTGAGAGGTTTTTGCTATAGGGCGCATGCGCTCGCCAGACAGACAGAGACATAGAGACAGAAAGCGAGAAATCGCCCCCCAGGGGGGATGGTCACGACGCAATCCCATCTTGGGCACGCACGCACACGCGCCCGGCGTGAGTTTTAAGCCACTGGGGCCAGGACACGAACCGCGGTCGACTACGTGGGAGTCCAGCGACATAGCCATTACGCTAACTGCTGGTTCCCTGCCCGGCATGAGTTTTAAGTCACTGGGTCCAGGACACGAACCGCAGTCGACTACATGGGAGTCCAGCGACATAGCCATTACGCTAACTGCTGGTTCCCTTGCTTTCTCTCTCTGGTCAAATTAAAAATAAAGTTAAATAATTCTTTAAAAAAAAAATCAAGATGTCCATTTGTACACAAGTAACAACGGCAAAATAAAACAAAACCCCCCCCAAGAAACAAAAGAATCTAGTGCAGTTTTTTGTTTGTTTTTAAAGTTTGTTTTTTTTTTTTTGCCACAGGGCATATGCACTTTATGCACTTGCTAGAGAGAGACAGTGGGAAGGAAAGCAAGATAGCATCCCCTCAGGGGGATAGCCAGACTGCAATCCCTTTTCCATTCTCCTCCTGGGATGTTTTGGGCATATACAACAACCATGATTTTCAAGCCCCTGGATATGGGACTCAGACCATGGTCAGCCATGTGGGAGTCCAGTGCCTTAACAACCATGCCACCTACTGGCCCCCCTTCTATAGTTTTAGAAGTACAAAATATTGGGCAAAATTAGATAAAAGACCAATATTCAATGAAATGATCTGATGTTTTAATTGCCTATAATCCTTTAGTAAATAATCCTAGAGATTTTTTTTGAGGGGGGGAGGGAGAGGTTTTTGCTATAGGGCATGTGTGCTCAGAGAGACAGAGAGATAAAAAGCAAGAAGTCACCCCCCAGGGGGAATGGCCACATTGTAATCCCTTCTCCTCCATTCTCCTCTCGGATTCTTTTTTTTGGAGAGATTTTCACTATAGGGCGCGTGTGCCAGCCAGACAGACAGAGAGAGACATTAGAGACAGAAAGCGAGAAATCACCCCCCAGGGGGCATGGTCACGCCGCAATCCCTTCTCCTCCATTCTCCTCTCGGGATCTTGGGCACGCACACACACATGCCCGGTGTGAGTTTTAAGCCACTGGGTCCGGGACGCGAACTGCGGTCGACTACATGGGAGTCCAGCGACATAGCCATTACGCTAACTGCTGGTTCCCTCCTCTTGGGATCTTGAGCATGTATGCACACATATGCGCCCGGCATGAGTTTAAGCCACCAAATCTGGGACTCCAACCGCCGTCAACTACATAGAAGTCCAATGACATAGTCATTAACGCCAACTGCTGGTCCCAGTCTTATGGCCTTTTAAATGTGTTTTATGAACAATTTGCCACCTACCTAATCTTATTTATAAACAATTTGACCAGAGTGAGACACAGAGAGAGACAAAGTGAGAAAGCAAGCCACCAGGTCAGGGACTAGAACCATGGCCAGCCCTGTAGGAGTATTGAGAAATGACACTAGAAGAAAAATGAGATGTAAAGTCAGTTTTTAAATCTCATCTAGAAATAACAGCATAATTTATTCACACAACTCCCCCCAGAGTACCTCTCTTAAAAGAGAGATATTGGGACCAGCAGATGGCATGGTGGTTAAGGTACTGGACTCCCACGTGGTCAACTATGGTTTGAGTTCCAGATCTGGTGGTTTGCTTTCTCATTTTCCCCCTCTCTCTTGCCAGTGTATTTGTCCTATAGCAAATTAATAATAATAATAATAACAACAATAAGAATGAGTTAATTAAAACAACAGTACTATTAAGTGATCAATGTCAGCAGGCAAAAGATACATGCTCTACACCCCGTAAACAGTGAGTTCTGTGGTAATACACTCTTACTTACCCTTGTCCAATTTTTTCATATCTTGTATATTTTTTCTTAGGGTCACCTATGCTCACAATGGTTCCTATTTTAAACAAAAACAAAAGTGGGAAGCTCAGTAGCCGAGTATTTTAAGTGGAAATTAATTTTGATATCATCAATCCTTGTAATGAACTCCACTGATTTTAGAACAGTGGTTTTCAAACACAGCAGTAAGATAAAAAATAATGTATGCTCCAAACACAAAACTAAACAAACTTTGGGAATAAAAGTTAAAAAGTATGGGAAGAAGATAAATTATTTTTATTAAGTTACTTCTACTTGCTTTGTCACAAATGACTATATTTTAGAACAACCAACTGTACCAATTTATCCGAGATTTAGGTTCTCAGGATGTAGGATGTTTTTAGCTTTTTTTTAAAAGAGAGATTTCTGCTATAGGATGCGTAGGCTCGTTGGAGAGAGAGTGAAAGACAGAGACAGAAGGTGAGAAGTCACCCCAGGGGAGTGGGGGTGGCCACGATGCAATCCCTTCTCCTCCTGGGACCTTGGGCATGCATGCACACGCATCCGCCGGAGTTTTAAGCGGCCAAGACTGGAATTGAAACTGCGGTCAGCCACGTGGGAGTCCAGAAACGAGACCATTATGCCATCTACTGGTCCTAATGTTTTTAGCTTTAAAACCAGGCAGTGCTTGAAAATGGTCAAGTTGGTCATTTTTCTTTTCTACGCCAGTGAAATGTATACAACTAGTGATAAGTTATAAAGCTAATTAATCAGAAGTAAATGATATCTTCATGAATAATCTTAAATGGCTTTTCTGACTCTTCCAGTATATCAGCTTTCAATTTAGTGAGGAAACCAGTTACTAACACTGCTTACTAAAATGTTTCATATGAACCAATCAAGCTATGATTTAACGCCTCCCTTGGAAACTTGTGTGTTGAGATTTGGTTGCAACATGATTAGGGGGTGAAAACGTAATCCAACAATGGTGTTAAAATGTGGAGACTCTGGGACTAGATTAGGATTAAGGTCAGGGTGGGGGGGTCCCATCACTGACTCCTGGTAGGTTTATAAGCATGGGGATGAGACCAGAAGACAGACAGATGGACACAGATGCATGTGCACCTGCCTCCACTATGCTGTAAATGCACTCAGATCTTTACCAGACTTAGCCCCTGGACCCTGGACCACCACACTGTGAGCGAATAAACTTCCACTCTCACAAATTACCTAGATGCAGGTATTCTCTGTTTTAGGAGAGTTCAAAGTCATGAGTAAGAAACAGGTTTATAATGTTGGGGGGCTGGCAAGTGGCATGTGGTTAAGGTAGTTGAACTTCCACATGGCCGACAGTGGTCCGAGCCCCGGACCTAGCGGCTTGCTTTCTCACTTTCTCTCTCTCCAAATTAAAAATAAATGAAGTTAAAGAAAAAGAATTCTTTTTTTAAAAAGTTAGAATGTTGGAAATAATGAGACCAGCAGTTGGCGTAATGGCTATGTCGCTGGACTCCCATGTAGGTGACGGTGGTTCAAGTCCTGGACCCGGAAGCTTAAACTCATGCTGGGCATGTGTGCATGCGTCCCCAAGATCCCGAGAGGAAGATGGAGGAGAACGGATTGCAGCGTGGCCATCCCCCTTGGCGGGTGATTTCTCGCTTTTTGTCTCTGTCTTTCTGGAGAGCGCACGTGCCCTATAGCAAAAACCTCCCCCGCTCCCCCCCAAAAAATGAACTTGGAAATAAAATAACATATATTATTATCAGCAAATCAAAACATGAGAAAACTACCCTAAATTTTCACTTGGTAAAAGAAGACAGGGATATACTAAGGAAACTCATAGCAATAAGATGCTAAGGGCAAAAAAATACCAAAAAAAGACAGAGGTTGTAATAGTTAAATGTCATGATTGAATGGTGAGAATTACTATTCTTTCTTTTTAATTAGCAGCTCCCCTAAAAGAAGAAACATTATGTCTATAGAAAACTAAAGTAAAAGTAGGTTTATACTTGAAAGCACTGAAAATACAAGAGCAAGTAAATGCAGAGCATATACATGTTTAAAACAACCCACCTACAAAGTATTTTTCCTGTACGCCTTTAGGTCAGTGTTGTTTATAACTATAAACTGTTACAGACTAGTCATCAGCTACTACTAGTACTCTCTCTAGCACTGTTTACAGTATTTCCAATATTTGATCTAGGTCAATAATAGTTAATGGATTAAAAAGGAGAAAAATATTTTTCTCTGGAATAGATTTTATGCCTATACACCTATCTACAAAGGAAGGTCATTTTGTTTAGTTATTTAGGGACGTTTTTGTAGGGTGATATTTCTAAGCTATGAGTATGCATAAATATATTCAAATCTCCTTTGGCAAAGTTTCCAACTATATCTCTAAGGGAAAAAGTTGGTTTTCTCCCAACTTTTGTACTGGCTACCACAGAGACACTCACTTGTCGGTACGTAATACCTCTCCAAGACACTAGATTATAATTAAAGCTATTGTTCTTATAAGGAAACTATTTAGTCCTCGGATGCCAATGAGAATTGCTTCATGGTAACCAAAACGCAAGGCAACGGTCACCATAATGAGGGATTGAGGCTAGTAGAATGTGTGTCACTGGCAAAAGGTCTCAAAGCCGCTTCCAGTTGGCATAAGCCGCCAGGCGGCCTTCCTGGGGCCCATTCACCAGCTCGCAGCTAGGAGTCATGCTTAGGCTCGTCTGACCTATTTCCTTCAGTTATACTTTCAATGATCTTTTGTGTACCTGTTAGGGGAAAACAGACTCGCAAGCTAAAAAGTAGCACCCTCTCCTTCATTTAGAAAGAAAAACAATTTATTCTTTATGCCTTACATCAAATTAGAAGGTACGAATTAAAATAGACCTGGCCAAATGTTTTAAGAGTTGATAGCAATGTAAGAATAACGTAAAATGTAGGTAACATACTTAATTTCTCCATAATCTCTTCATCTGTCATTTTGGTCTTCTTTTTCTGTTTGTCTGAAGACTTGGCACCACTGTCAACATTAGAATCACCAACTGGTGCAGGAATAGGGTCAATTACAGACCGGGTGTAAATCTATAGAGACACAGTTCGTCACTGAGATGTCAAGAAAAATACTTGCAGATACGCTTACTGGCACACTATTCAGCTCCTTGGTTTTAAACACAAACTAGGTTGTCTCTTCTGTTGTTCTAAAGAACGGGAATAATGTTTGCAGCCTATTAAAAATAAATGTGAACTAGAAAAAATAAATGTGAAGCATTTTCTTTAGGCACAGCAGGTATATATTTTAAAAGTCTGTCCAGCAAAACAGCAAGTCAGGAGTAAAATTTAAGTGTGCCCAGATCTAAAATGGAAGATGACAATGTAGCAAGAAAGAAATAGTTTTTAAAAACCACATTAAAATTAAAAAAAAAAAGAAAGAAAATCACATTTTTACCATTAAAGAGAAAATACAAAAGAATAAAAACTTTAATGTTGAAGTAACTATTATTAATTCCCACAAAAATGTTCACACCCATATGTCTACCATTTCATTTCAAACAGCTAGTTCTGAGAGGGAAAGAAAATGGAGGCTCAGGACCAGCAGTTAGCGTAATGGCTATGTCGCTGGACTCCCACGTAGTCGACCGCAGTTTGCATCCCAGACCCAGTGGCTTAAAACTCACATCGGGTGCGTGTGCGTGTGTGCCCAAGATCCCGAGAGGAGAATGGAGGAGAAGGGATTGCGGCGTGGCCATCCCCCCGGGGGGGGTGATTTCTCGCTTTCTGTCTCTCTGTCTCTCCCTGTCTGTCTGGCGAGCACACATGTCCTATAGCAAAAAATCTCTTCAAAAA